CGAGTGCTCCAAAATTTAACATTAAATTGCTAATAATGTTGTTCTTTCCAATGTTGACTTATTTAACATTTTTTATATAGATGATATGTTGATGTTGATGTTAATGATTATAAGGATATAAACAGCTTGTGAAAAGAACTTCATATAGGTTTGTTTTGTGATAAGGGTCAAACAAGCCTTTTTATTATTCCTAATTCATCACTTAATCACAATACTAAAAAAAAATACGGAGTATCACATTATATTTTTTAGTAGGGCTTAAACAAAGGATATGATTAGAGATACTAGAAGGGCGTCTTTGACCCTTTTGTCATAATTACGTGTACTAAATTATTCCTTTATATTTGATCTTATGTTTTGCATGAAGATATGTAGGGCATTGGTGATAATTATGAATGCAAGGATCCATTGTGGTGCATTAATGGGTACAAAGAGACAATTGAGTCTTCAAGATAAAGTTCGGTTACCAACCATAAAAGCTTCACCGATTTTGCTCCAATGTTTCTTCGCTGATGACGATAAGGCGAAAGATGAGACCATAAATGTAATATACAAGTTTTTTCACAACTTATAATTTTCACATGTATTCGATGCAATTCAATTACATTGTATCATCGTAATAATAATTTAACCACATAATTTTTTTTTATCCCAGAAGGCAAACCACCAAAATCAGTGGGACAAATGCTGGGAGCCATTTGCTGATGTTTTATTGATATAGGATGCCGTACACAACTTTGGGGGGGCAAGACCTGACCCAAAAAGAAAAAACAGAAAACTAGTAATATCTAAAGAAGCTAAGACCAAGTTTATCAGCAATAATAGATTTTCGTACAACCACATAATTATTATTGTCGTTTTTTTATTATATTCCAATATTCCACTTTTAGTACAATTATGCATATATAACTTATTTTGATAAAACATTTCTAGTGCATCGCACGGGTACAATACTAGTCATCAATAACAACATCTAAATACAAAATGTTATCCTCTCACAACAACTTATGAGCCTATTTTTATTCTCTCCTTGCTCCAACTTTGTTCACCTAGCCATTAAAGAACCGCTCCAACTTGTTGTGGACGTGCACCTACCTCCCCAAATAAACTTAGCCACCCCCCATCCTTAGAAAAGATACTCATAGTCTTTGCCCACGCCACAATATTAACACCACATCTAGCAAAGATGTGCAACTTTGTCTCTTCCTCCTCGCCACAGAGGCGAAACAGGGGACAATCTCGAGCTATCTTTTCCTCAAATTATTCAGTGTGGGAAGAAACCCCACCATTAACTGTCAGGAATAAAATTAATTTTGGGGGTATGAAAAGTTCCACATTTTGGTCAAGTTGAGCCACACGTCCTTTGTGGCCTCTCCCCGAGTCGGCTGATGTCCTCTCTTTACCCATCAAGTCCCCGTGTAGTTCCCGCTAGAATCTGCCCACCAATATACCCATCATATACTCGTCCAGTACTTAGCAGAATAGACATGATAACTCAGTGTTCATCATTAGAAAAAAAACTTCTAATCCGCCACTCATTCGTACTTTTTTCATCTTCTGAGATGAAAGATGCAACATCCATTTCTGGTAACCCCGGAGACGGAGGAGTAGAAATCTGGTCATCCCCCTCTCCAGGCAACCGCCTATCCTTCCACACGAAAATACTTTGGCCATTTACAACTTTCCTTCTACCCTTTCTCTAGTAGACCTTGCATGTGTCGGATGCTACTTCAAATAAATGAAGGAGTTGTCCCAACATCGGCCTCACTAGTACAAAAAAGGCTTTTTACATCTCCTTTTCTACACGTGTTATTTTAAAACACATGTAGAATACTAAAACGGGGTCATTTTTATAATTTGTAGCGATTCGCCAATCCGGAACCATTCTCATCAGAAGAGATTGATGAAGTACGAACTCGTTGGGCATCATATTTCTTAGAAATGACGCAATCCATCAACGACGCATGATGAACATGTTTGTTTAAGTTTTTGAGTGATTATGACTTGTAACTTTATACAATCTCTTATTACTCGAGACTTGTGCAAGGATTGTTTTATTTTAGCTTATTATGTACTAAATTGTTACTTAAACTTGTTTAACATTTGTGGAAGAATTGAAAAATAGCTTGTGTTATTGTTTTAGATTGATCAAGTGAACAGGTGAAAAATTGTGCTATAGTAGTTGATATACTGCTAATGGAGTGATTATAGTATAAATGGCGGTCATATTGCAATTTTTCCCCTGAAAACTACCCAAAAAATCGAGGCTTTTCACATCAGTTGATAAATAACCGATGTGATTGTTTTTCTACATGGGTAATAACCGATGTGAAAAACATATGTCCCGGAAAAAATGAAGTTTTTCACATCGGTTGATAAAATAGCCGATGTGAAAGCTTTTCTACATGGGTAATAACCGATGTGAAAAACCTATGTTCCGGGAAAAATTGTAGATTTTCTACATGGGTTGTTTTAGACCCGATGTAAATTCTTTCACATCGGTTATAACCGATGTGGAATACCATTTAAAACGCCGTTTTGGACAATCTTCTAGATCGGACACTGCACGACTGATGTAGAAAGATTTTTCACATCATTTCGTTGACCGATGTGAAAGGTCTCTACTTTTCACATGGACTGGAACCACTTTGGTTGTTTGACTGATGTGAAAAGTCTTTTTTGACCGATGTAAAAAGTCTTTTTTGTACTAGTGCCTGCAAAAAAAGTGGTGTTAGGGTAATATCTTGCTTTAAAAAAAATCTGGCAAGCGACCCCATATTTGGCATCAATCGTCAAGCTTGCTTTCCCAAGATTGCTAGATTGAAGCCTTTCGGTGCTCTATAACCCAAGCCCCATGTTATTTAGGTTTGCACAACGACTGCCACCTAGCCCACCTTATACCCTTTCGTTGAAATTCTGCCCCGCCATTAGTATCCATTCATTAAAGCTTCAATATTTGAACGCAATTCCTTGGACAGGAGAAAAAAATATTCATAGCATAGGTCGGCATGACATGTATCACTATTTTTAGCATGACCCCTTGTCTCGCCTTAGACGGAAACATGTTATTACAACTTGTTAAGCGGTTGACAATTCGCTCTTTCAGATATATAGCCTAAAATTGAAGATAGATAATTGTCTGTCAATTAAAGAGGAAAGTCCCATATATCGAAGGTTATGCCCCTCATCCTTAACTCTAAGAAAGCGACACAAGAAGTTTTTACTTCCCTAATTACCATTTGAACTGACTCGTATTGTTGATTTAGCAAAATTGACTTTTTACCCCAATCCTAGCTCATACCACTCAAGCATCCTTTTAACACATCATAGTTTGTTTACTTGGATTTAAACAACAAATAACTATCATCAACAAAACAAGTGCAAAACTTTGGGTGCTCTTTTAGCTACTGGTATGCCCATAATATTACGGTTTACTACCCATATCCTCATAATGACTAATTAAAACATTTATCCCCTTCGTCACAAGAATAAAAATGTAGGGTGACAAAAGATCCACTGCCTTATATAGTTTTACCCCTGGAAGGATTGATTGGCTCAATCGCACTCTTGTCAAATGGAATAAAATATTTCACTCTCACCACATTTTCTTATCAATTAATCCATTTTTTTATCAAACTGCAGAAGAGATATAAGTGTGTCAATATAAGGTCACTGTACTCTATCATAGGTTTTACTCATATCTAATTTAAGAACCACACTCTTAAATTAGCCGGGACTTTTGAAAAAGCACATTGTGATATTACAAAAATCAATTTGCCCAGAACAAAAGCACATGGGTTTTTAAAAATAAAAAATTTAAGAAAGTCTTTCATGCAATTAGGCAGGACTTTTAAAAAAAAATATACACTGCATTACACAAAACTCAAGGCTGCCACTCTCTTAGGGAACTCGACTTATCTTTTGGGAGATTAAAATCAAATTAGTATGATTTACCTCCCTGAGAATACTCCCCATCGTGAACATGTGTGGACAAAAGGCTGCAATGTGATCCCCTATAATATCACAACAAAGGTGATAAAATTCAGGGTTCAATCTGTCTAGTCCAGGCGTATTGTACGGATGCATGGAAAAAACGCTTTAAGTTCTAGTGGACTAATGGGGCATAGTAAAACGCTTCTATGTTCCTGGGATAATTTAGCAACCCCAAACAACTCATTATGATTTATATTTCAACCAGGCTTGAGGTACACATTTTTGTACATACACTTACACACCCATGTCTGTGAAGTGTTTTGTTTTGTCTGTATACAGACACAACTTATTTCACAGACACTTCAAATGCGTTGTGTCTGTATACAGAAAAAAAAACACTTCACAGACACGAGTGTGTAAGTGTGTGTACAAAAAATGTGTAACAATAGTTTTTTCCTTAGCTCAATGAGCATCGTAAAAGCTTAGTCACAATTGGTGATGCGAGGTCTCTGTCCGAACGTCCTGTCCAATCAACGATCTGGCAGTCCCTGTACGATCCATCAATGACCCGACGATCCTTGTCCGGTCCGGTCAATGATGAGGTGGTCCCAGGACGGTCTGGTCAATGACAGGGTGGTCCATGTTCAGTCCTGTCGATGACCTGGCTATGCCTGTTTGATCTAGTCGACAACCCAACATTTCGGTCCCCGTTTTTAAATCATTTTTCCAAAGTGAAAAGTTTCAAAAGAGCCGTTGGATTACCAACTAAGGAAAAGGGAAAAAAATTGTCAAACTAGCCGTTGGCATTGATCACGACCTGCCGGTTCCCTACATGGATTGTACTAGATTCGATTCCGGACTCAGACCGTACTTTCGATCTTTCGTCCGATCTCAAAATCGGGCAAGAAAATTTGGTGAACATGTTTTCAAATTTAAAAATGAAGAAATGTACGGATTAAATGAAAAGTTGAAGATAGATAAACTGAAATAATAAAACAAAAAACGGAATAATAAACATTGAATAAGATCTGTGAAAATGGTGTGCAAAGTCTAATATCCATAAAATATTCCAATAGAATTAACCTACCGTCCTTGCCTAAATTCAGCCGGCCAGACTGCGGCACCGGTCTGCGGCACCGAACTGCGGAACCGGCGTGGAGTGCAGCTCAAGACTTCGTACGAGAGAGCGGAGTGGAGTCGTCCCAGCGAGTTTGAGTCATCTAGAGACCATTTTCCAGCCGGCTATTTCAGTCACCAAGCATCGCCACAGGTAGAGTCCTTCAGTGAATATGAGTTTCTTTAAGTATCTTTATGTGTGTATTGAGTTTCGCCAAGTCATATTATCGATTTCAGTTTTGTATTCGATGTAATATGATTTATAAATCAATCTTTATGTTTGCATTTTCTCCTATAGAGGTAACTTAAAGGTTTTGAGTACATTTTATGAGCAATTTCCTGATTTCTGATAATTCCACAAAGACTTATGCCTGTTTTATTGACTGTACATGACTTAATAGGAGCTGGAAATGTGTTCTTAACAGTTGGATTCATAGCCATCCCAGCTATTATTGTCGTCAACTTCATTTTTCCTGAGGTACAGAGCTTAATCAATAGGCGAAGCAATGGATTCCCCATTCGAAGGTGTGGATCACAGTAGTAAATGGAGTAAGGGTAACTTCGACAAGATGACCGACGAGGTCAAGCCTTCTCCACTACCACCTCTTCAGCAGCGGAGAAGCCTTGAACGGAAAGATGACAGAGGCTTAGAAAGGAAATGTGGACGACAGCATTACTCCAGTCGCAGTCGGTCTCCGCGGCTTCGAGAACGTCGCTACAAAAGGAGCCACTTGAGGTCCACCCCTCCTCTTTCTCCGTCTCCTCCGCCACGACGCTCGATGACACAATCATCTTACAAGTGTTCTCGCTCTCAAAGGGATGACTATGATGACTGTCGCTCTCCTCACTCACGGCGGTACTCGCCCTCCAGGAGGGATGACTGTTATGGCCTTCGAGCTCCACACTCCCGTCGCTCGTCACCACATTCTTTTTCCAAGGGTTCTCAAAGAGATAACTATGATGGCAGACGCCGCTCTCCCCCCTCACGACGACGCTCGCCTCCGTCCTACAAACGCCCAAGGAGGGATAACTCTGATGACCGGGACCCACCATCACCACGACTTTCTCCGTCACCCTTCCCTTACAAACCCCTTAAGACTTCTAGGAGGGATGAATGTGATGGCAGAAGAGAAAGCACTAAAGATGGACAAGATGATCGGAGGTCTGTACTGTTCTATGTTTCTTTATGTCGTATAAATCTTTGATGCGGTACCATTTTTATAACTTCCTAGACGAGCCATAGGAAGTATTGGATAGAATAAATGATGTCAATGAGTCTTCATTGGTTCTCTTCATTACAGCTCAGATAAGTGAACAAAGAAAACATAAATTTTTGGATTCCAGCTACCTGCTTACCTATGTATTCTCTGTAGCTAAACCAAACAAAAAAAACAGATGAAGAAGTGGGGCCTGCATCACTGATTTCAATGGAATCTCAACTATATTGCTTTCCATCAATGCCTTTTATTAGTTTAGGGAACTATCTGTATTCTGTTCATATTAGACAGTAGGACAAATGCATTATTCCCTTACATTAGTAATCAACATCTGACATCACAGTTTTGAAAATCTGTTTGGGTGCCTCTCCTGTTTCTTTTTTAGCTAGATACTTGAATCGTGCCTTATTACAAAATGTAACTTGTTGGGTTTAGAGCATGACTATCCAATTGTCTAAGAGCGCGTGGAATGGGGGGAGCCATGGATATCCTAATATCAGTCCAAAATAGGAATTACATATTGAAGTATTTTGTTTTTATGTATTACAGAAGCAATTGATTGTTAAGTTATTTTATCTTTGTTTGTTATTTTATGCTATTTATTGTAAGACTGATATCCTCATATCCTGTTTTTTAGCTGTTTACCCCCCACATTGAAAAATTATGTGCCTGAAGCATCCCTTGCGACTCTGCCTCCAGTTAACCCATTGCACCCCAGCGCACTTTCTCGGCTTAATGATGAAAGTTTTGTTTGGCCTTGGAAGGGAATAGTCGCTAATGTTCCTATTCAGTACAAGGATGGAAAGTTTATTGGCGAGAGCGGGCAAAAGCTTAAAGAGGAGTTGGTTGCCAAAGGGTATAACCCAGTGAAGGTTCAACCATTGTGGAGTAGTAAGGGGCATTCTGGCTTCACTATTGTGGAGTTTGCCCGGGACTTCTCTGGGTTTGAAAATGCAATGGCATTTGGACGGGAGTTCGAGCTGGATAAACATGGAAAATTGGAATGGACTTCCGGGAAGAGAGATGACAAGCTCTTTGCGTGGATTGCTGGCCGTGATGACTACAATGCCCCTGGCATTATTGGTCATTATCTCAAGAAAAATGGAGATTTGAAATCTATTTCTGAGATCCAAAACGAGAATCAGAGGAAGAATTCAAAGCTGTATTCTGATTTGACCACAAAGCTGGAGTCCAAGAGCAGGAAGTGCGAGGAGATTGCAGAGAAGATAAGTAAAACTGATAGGAAGCTGAACAATGTCATGCGACAAAAGGACGAGATGCTTGCAAAGTATAACAAAGGTACACAAACCATTCTTCTTTTCATTTTGCCTAAACTTCAGGTTAATTTTTTTTTACTTAGATTAAGCTAAGAAATTACATTAAATTTATTATGTCAGATGTTAGGGTCCGGGCCTAATATATAATAAGAATAATGGACTGGGCCTATTAGCATATTAATAAGAATAAAAGTGTATTAGTTTAGTATAAATAGCAGAAGGCAGGGAAGGGTTAGGTAGGCTGTTTAGACATTTTTCAGACTGGGACTTGGGAGATCGAGAGTTACTCTCTTTCTTGGGGGCTTCGGCTCATATTGGGGGCTTCGGCCATTGATTTCTTACTCTCTTTCTGTAATCGATTCTTCCTCATCAATAAAAACTCTTAGTTGTTCTTGATAGATTCTGTGATTTTACTGTTTACCTGGACAGTTTCCTATCAATTGGTATCAGAGCAGTGTTCGATCGTTGAATGAGATATACGCGTTCCAAAATGGAAGCCAGAATGAACGAGGTGGAACGAAGCATGGTGGATATTGGGAGAAATCAAAGAGAATTACACGATCAATTGGATCGGAGGATGCGTGAATTGCAGAGTAATATGGCGGACCAATTGGCGGAGAAATTGGCTTCGATTCAGACATCGATGCAAGCGACGATGCAAGCGAACTTGGCGGAATTTCAGAAGAACCTCGCCAGTCGATCGCGAAGCCTCTCTCACCGATCATCTGCATCGCATCGATCATCTGCCTCGCATCGCACGTCGCATCATCATCAACCGTTTCACCATCAATCGTCGCATCACCATCACCAATCGCGACGGGCAACCAGTTCAGAAGGATCGGAAAACAGTTCGGACTATTCACCACCGCGAAACCACCATCATCGACACAGGAGACACGATCACCACCGCCGGACTGAAAGGAAAATTGAATTACCACTTTTCAATGGAGCTGACGCTGGTGGTTGGTTGATGAGAATGAACCGCTATTTCAGGTTAAATAGAACTGAGGAGGAGGAGAAAATTGATGTGGCAGTTCTAGCTATGGAGGATCAAGCTCTCAGTTGGTTTCAATGGTGGGAGAGACAAGCTGCACATCAGAACTGGGAGTCTTTCACTAGGGCGTTGACTAGAAGATTTCAGCCTGATATGGTAAACGATCCTCTTGGGCCTCTTTTCAGTCTGAAACAGAAAGCTACAATTCAAGAGTACCGAGATCGATTCGAAAAGGCTATCGCTTCACAAGGCCATTTAACAGAAGAAGTCTTAAAAGCAGCCTTTCTTAAGGGATTGAGAAGAGATATAAAAGCAGAATTGAAGTTACATCATACTAGAACATTGGCAGAAGTTATGGATACTGCCTCCGCGATTGAGAACAAAATTTTGGAAACTTTGTTTGTAAAAGATAAAGAGGAGGAAAGAAAGAAGGTGCAGACTGCAAATCAGAAATGGGAAGATGGTTGTAGAGGGAGTTCTAGCTACACAACCAAGAATCCATCTGGCAACTATTTAGTTGATAACATGAAGAAGCAGGAATCTTCAAATTCAGTTCAGCGGAATACAAAACCCCAATTATCACAAGAAGAATTGCTTGAAAGAAGTAAAAAGGGGCTATGTTTCAAATGCGGAGAGAATTGGGGAAGGGGACATGTGTGCAAGATGAAGAATTATACAATAACTTTAGTGGAACGATCGGAGGGTGAAGCTGAGTCTGAATTGGAAGCACTGGAATCAGGCAGGGATAAGATCACACCTCTAGAATTGAAGACCATGCAATTCTCTGTAAGTGATGAGAAAGAAATAACCCCTGTGAAAACATTTAAGGTGAGAGGTAAACTGAAATGGCATGAAGGTGAAAGCACAGTAAATGTACTCATTGATGGAGGTGCTACACACAATTTTCTGTCACTAAACTTGGCGGAAAAGTGGAGGATTCCTTATACTCATTTCACAGGGAATAGGGTGCAGTTAGGGAATGGCGAATGTATTCCAATCTGTGGCAGGTGTGCAGGTGTGGATCTGAATGTGCAAGGAATTGGTATTCACCAAACTTATTACTTATTGGAGCTGGGGAGCATGGATTTAGTCTTGGGAATGGACTGGTTAACAAGTTTGGGAGACATGGAGATTAACTTCCAAAGTCAGAACTTCAAATGGAAAGTACAAGGGCAGGAGGTGATTCTACAAAGAGATGACTCATCAAGAGAGCAGGACGTTGAAGGAAGAAGTGTTCAAAGGCACGAAGTAGCTGTCCCCAATGTTACAGCAAGCTGCAATTGGGTCTTCCAAAAACCTGCAGAAATCACAGTTCTGGATCAAATTGTCTGGCCTATGTGGAACTATGCTGTGAAATACTTAGAGGGAAAGATGGAAGTAGTAAAGCTAAAGGCCCAGCAGACCAATCAGTACTGGAGAGGAAGGGGTGCTAGGATGAAAGAAGAGAATAAGTTAGTGGCTGTGTCATATCATCCACCTTGAGGGCAAGGTGGATGTTTAAGGGGCGGAGTATTGTTAGGGTCCGGGCCTAATATATAATAAGAATAATGGACTGGGCCTATTAGCATATTAATAAGAATAAAAGTGTATTAGTTTAGTATAAATAGCAGAAGGCAGGGAAGGGTTAGGTAGGCTGTTTAGACATTTTTCAGACTGGGACTTGGGAGATCGAGAGTTACTCTCTTTCTTGGGGGCTTCGGCTCATATTGGGGGCTTCGGCCATTGATTTCTTACTCTCTTTCTGTAATCGATTCTTCCTCATCAATAAAAACTCTTAGTTGTTCTTGATAGATTCTGTGATTTTACTGTTTACCTGGACAGTTTCCTATCATCAGATGAATCTATAACATTATAATTCACTTATATGCTTTCCACTAGAATTGGAGAAGATGCAGCAAAAGGCATTGTCAGAGCTACAGAATATTCTAAGGGAGAATAAGAGAAGTGAGCAAAGATTAAATGACCAGCGTGAAAAGCTGAAACTGAAAGAAAATGAACTGAAATTTCGTGAAAAACTAAATGAAAGTGAGAAGAGGAAGCTTGATAGTGATAAAGAGATGGTATGATGCTCTTTGCTTTGCTAATATTGTCATTTGGAAATGTTCATTATTTTTTATCTTGAAGCTGGAGACCATGTGCAGAGCATTTTTTTAATGCAAATGAACTCTGTTTTGGTTACCATAATGGGTGTTCTTGTTCATGTTTTAGTTCCTGAAAACATAACAAAATAAATAAAACTTTTTGAATATGTAATAGTAAGAATTTCTGAAAAGAAAAGTTTATTATTTTTGCAGAATGAGAAGGCAATTCTTGCTCAAAAAAAGGCTGATGAGACAATGTTGAAATTAGCTGAAGAGCAAAAGGTATGCTTTCCTCCTTTATTTTACGAAGCACACTAGAAGCTAATTCAGTAAAATGCGCAAAAGTTGGTAGTTAGTGCTTACATCAAAGTAGAGAAAATCTTACTGATTTTTCATATTTCAGAGAGAAAAAGAGCTCTATCACCAAAAAATCATTGAACTTGAAAAGGAACTGGATAGAAAGCAAGCACTGGAATTAGCGATTGAGTCCTTAAGAGGTGCCATTGAAGTCAGGAGACATATGGGCGAGGAAGGAGATCTGCTAGCTAAGAAAAAACTGACATCAATTGAAGAAGAGCTGAAAGAGAAGGAAGAAGAACTTGAGGATATGGAAAACACGAACAACAATCTCATTATAAAGCAACGGCGCGACAATGATGAAGTGCAAGATGCTCGTAAAGAGTTGATCAATGTGAGCACATTTTATTTGATTTCTTTTGTGCTTCATGTAGTACACATTTTTTAAAAATGAACAAAAACCAAAGCTGTAGTATAGTTTTCGTTTTACCTGTTGGCTTAAATGAGATATATAATCTATTTACTATTTAGGAATTGTGTAGTTAGCTTACTCAGTAGACATCTCTATAGATTACTCACCCACACATACATGGAAGCAGGAAGTATATATAGCTGTAACAGCATTCTTCTTATGAAATAAATTTTAAGCATCAAAATAAATGTGGGAATCTGGGAATTCCATTTGTGCATTTGTGCAGCTGATGGTTATTCCAGCAAAGTCCATATTAGAGCGGACTAGTGTTCTTTTCAAGTTATTTAGATGGTTTATCACGTAAAAGGCTGAAGTTGCACGGTAATTTTAGATATATGCTAGAGGAATCTAGCAGTTATCGTCTTCTCTTGTTCTCTTTATACTGAGTAATCGCTTTCTAGATTCCTAATCTATTGAGTTTTTTAATTTGATTTCGGTCAACCCGTTCTTGGTGCCTTTTGGGTAGGGATTGAAAGGCAGCCGTGCCAACATTTCTGTGAAGTTAATGGGGGATCTTGATACTAAGCCATTCATTGTTGTTGCTAAGCGAAAGTATTCCAAAAAAGAAGTACCAGAAAAAGCAGAGGAGCTGTGCACACTGTGGGACAATAACTTAAGTGACCCCCACTGGCATCCTTTTAAGCGTGTCATCAAGAAGGGTGATGGATCAGATAATAATGCAAGTGTATGCCTTCCTTCATGATTAAAGAGTACATATCAGTATTATGCTGAATTACTTTTTTAACCCCAAATGTCACACTTTCAGGAGGTGGAGGAGGATGTGATAGATGAAGAAGATGAAAGGCTGGTTGGTCTAAAGGAGGAGCATGGTGAGGAAGTATATGAAGCGGTGAAGACTGCGCTGAAGGAGTTGAATGAATACAACCCTAGTGGGAGGTACCCAGTGAAAGAGCTTTGGAACGTCAAAGAGAAGAGAAGGGCTTCCCTAAAGGAAGGTGTGGAGCATATTATTAAACAATGGAGGATACTCAAGGGGAAGAGAAAGACCTGAGGGCAATTTGACAAGTGCGGGTTACAACTGAGTACTAACTAGCAGAGTAATGTTTATACTAACTAGTAGAGAGCAATGTTTATTGTGGGCAGAATTTGCTTATATATATTTAACCTAGATTTTAGAGTAACATATCTCTAAGCAGCAGAATATGTTGAAACATCTAACATGGAAGGTGGCCTACTTGCTTTAAGGTGTAGAGACATTAATAGGTTAGAGTATTGTATATTTGGTTACACTACCTACCAAGCCTTGTGCCTTTTGTGTAAGCTTGGACAAGCTCCCGGTTTCAGACTGTCATTGGCTGATTTGCTGCACTTGACCAAATTCATTATCCAGATCTGAAGCAGAACCTCTCATATCGGGTTACCAATAAGTAATAGGCTGGTATATTTTTATGCAGTATATGAATTTGGATAAACTGAATCCAAGTTGGGTGGAAAACAGTTTGTTCTACCTGACCTCAAACTGTTCTGGTATTACTTGTGTTGATCATAGTTCCTACTTCCTACGTTTTAAGTTTTAAGGGTTGATTGGGAATAGGCTGGTCCGAAACTAGAAATGAGAGAATACAGACATACAGTTTGTTACAATCTTATACTACGGTGTTTCAATTGGGCTGCACTCAAATATCTTTCCTTGTTCTATGCAGTCCTACGTAAAAATGTAAAATATAATTTAATACGGAGTACAAAAGTAAAAGTTGTAATAATGCAAAATGAGTTTCCTTTGACCGGTAGTTTTGTGTTTTACATTTAAACTTAAAATATTCTAGCATATCTTTTTTATGTTGACGTGATTACTGAAATTGCTTTTGGCAAGTTTTATAAGCTTTTTCCCACAGCAGCCGGCCCCAATCGGGGATTAGCCTTATTATACACGCAAGTGTTAATCTAATTGGAATTGGTAAACCTGACTTACTTTGTGATCAACTTACTTCGAAGAATCGAAGTGTGAGTAACATGTTTAGAAATGTATACCACAATATGGTTTAAACTTCATTATCGTCCCTTAAACTCTGACAACTTTTGTACGAAATTTATATTTAACCTAGAATTTAGAGTAGCTTATACTATGGAGAGACCTCAACACGTTAGAGTTTTGTATATTTGGTTTATTGGTTACATTATCCCTTTTTTGACAAACAAATAACTAATTATTCAGTAATGATAGCAATGAAACAAATGAATGAATAACTTAAGGATACAATGGGATGAAATATAAAACATAAAAGATCCAATGAATCACTTCAGATGGCTAATCCTACAATAATATAGCCTAGTCTAACAACCTTGTTGAATTTGCTACTTCAACGAAAAATAAAAATTATAATTAAAATATCCGACTTCACTATTCACTAACCATCGGAAAGAAAGAATTTATTTGACTCGCAACCATAAAAAGAAGTTCTATTGAGCAAGAATTGTCTGAATCACCAGTTTGACCAGCCGCCGAAAAGGAGATTTAATAGAGCGCTATATTTCTCGAGTAAGACAGTGGTTCATAAAGAGGGCGCATAGCCGAGAGCCGAGATCTAAAGAAACTAGGTTCAGTGAGTCTTGTCACTCATGCACAACGAAAATTCACCACCTGATCAGTTACGCCGACGAGAAATAGACATCCTCTAGACATTGTTCGGACAAGAACATATGTATAAATATATCTCACACTCATTTGAAGCGGAAAAAATTCTGACTACAAAGGAAGTCGGACCAAAACTGTAAATCCCCAAGTTAGAAATCAAATAAAAACGAAAGCATAATAGAACCTCTTACTTTATTTTTCAAGGAAGAAGTTAATGGCGGAGACCAATCCTCCCTCTACTGGGATGCCTTCTAGGATTTGCTTCCGGCCAAAGAACGGGAAATGAAAACACTGTTCTACTCCCGGTTTGAGATTGACATTGACTAATTCACTACACTTGACCAAATTCACGATCCAGATCCGAAGCAGAACCTATCAATAATAGGTTACCAATAATTACTAGGCAGCTGGTATATTTTTATTAATAGAAATTGCTCTAAATAGGAACAAAAACGTTTTGAAATTCCATGTTTAAAACCTTGTAATGCCAAACTTGGCAGAAATTTACTTCTATTTAGAGAATAAAAAACATGATACTTCTATTTTGTAATTTCAAAACGTTTTTACTCCTATTTAGGGAATTCTCTCTTTTATTTAGTACTCGATATATGAATTCACCTAAATTATTGATATTGTTACATTTTGGTACTAACTCTTAAATGTTTCTAACTTGAGATTTATTTAAATTTGCGATAAAAAAAAACCTTCATGATGATCAAAATTCGATGTGTATAGTCACCCTAGTCCCTATAGTGATCATATGGACAACAATAAGGTGACATATACTTTTAAGGGTAGAAACTGACAGTATGGTTATATGCAATCTCTTTTAAACCCTTATTATGGACAACAATAAGGTGACATATGCAAACTTATAATACAATATGACAAACTGTAATACACAACTAAGTTTTAAGGGTAGAAAAATGTGACAAACTGTATTCCTTTCATTAACAAACTGATAACTTGTATTACTCCTACTTCATACCTTATACTCCGTAAGTTTTAAGGGTGATTGGAACAGGCTTTAAAACTTCTAATCTATGTAGCACCGATACGGGTACGCGGGATACGACAAAATAAAAAAAAAGTAGGATACGGATACGGGGTCATATTTATAAATATCAAAAGTTATGGGGGTGTATTTATAAATATTAAATGTTACATAGGGGTATTTGTAAACATTAAAAATACAATTTTTTTTAAAAAAAAATCATTATCCTCTGACGTTTACTCATTCATGGCATTGAAGCATTTTACATTTTCAAGATACTTAGAAATAAGTTCATATTTTATCTCATATACACTATTGCACCTCGAAATATATATATATATATAGTCAATAAGTCATTAATTTAAAATAACAAATAAGTAAAACAACTACAGTTTTGAAATTAAAAGTGCAAGTACTCAAAGTTCTAGTAATAATGAAGTTAGAAAACAATATTTTAAAAGTTCTAATACATATTTCCATTGGAGCTATTAATTTTCAGGGATAATTAGAATTAGGGATAAAAGGATGGGTGAAATAGGAATAGGCCTATTAGTTGTATACCACATAAAAACAAGGTAAAAATTATTTTCAGCATTTCATTTTTTAAGAATTTTATTAAGTATATTTTGAGTGTTTTTTTAAAAGTTTTTTTGGAAGATTTTTTTTAAAAGTTGATATGGGTATCCGTCAGGATACGAGTATCCGAAATTTTAAAATAATTACCAAATAAAATGGAAACTTTGAAAAATTGAAGATACGGCCCGGGAACGTACGGTACGAGTATCCTAGAGTATCGGATACGAGAACGTTTCCGATACGTCGATACGGTACCCTAATGAAGTATCTGTGCTTCATATATAGCTTCTAATGCATGCTAAAAGGCTTTAAAAAGAAATGCAAATGAAAGGAATACAGTTTGTCACAATCTTATGCTCCATTACTCCATTTCATTTGGGCTGCACTCAGAAAAATTCTTCCTTATTCTAATGCAGTCCAAAGTAAACTATAATTTAATCGAAAAGAAAAAGTTGTAATAATGCAAAATGAGTTCCCTTTGACTGGTAGCTTTTGTGTTTTACGTTTCGGATTAAAATATTCTAGCATATCATTTTTGTCATTTTCAATATAACAGTTTCAACGTGATTACCGTAATTGGTTTTGCAAGTTTTATAAGCTTTTTTCCACAGCAGCCCCAATCCCGGATTAGCTTTGTTACACACAAGTGTTAGTCTAATTGAAATTGATGAACTTGACTTACTTTGTAAAAAAGGATGACAGGAGTGCCCCAAGTACCAACACAGTCCGAACAGTTAATCAGGAAGGTGTAACTTGGACTTTAATCATAATTATTTATGATTAAAAATAAATATGTACATAGCGAGTTTTGGCCCATGTACTTACAGAAACCCCATACATTTTTACATAGTAATCTCTCAAGGCTCACATCGCCTTTGTCGGAATTTGAACACATGACTTATCCCGTGTCACACCTCCTATCTATCGTTGAGCTACGACCACCAGCAACTTAACGTACTTTGAAGTGTGAGTAAAATGTGTAAAAATGTATTCTCAAATATTATCTCCGTTCTTTTTTAATTGCAATTATTCACTTTTCACGTTTGTGTACAAGTATTAAAGTTGACCATTAACAACTTTATTCCGCCTTATTAGTAAATAAATAAATTTAAAAATTAAGGGAAATTGTTACATAGGTCCACGACCCACGTACTATAGTGCAGTTGTCAATTGAGTCCCCATACTTTATAAATGTCTAATTAAATCCTCATATTATAAAAATCATCCTAATAGGTTATTTAGGCGGTCACCCATTAATATTTCCGGTAATGTCTTGCGTGGAAATCCCGGTGGAGTTCCCTTTTTTGCGTTCCAAATATCCACATGGTGAAGTGAATTGGTCAACTGTGTTGTTCCCAAGAACAAAAAAATGCCGGAAGGAACCAGGGATCGGCAACAGAGACGCCACCGCCGCTTATCTTCACTAACCGCCGACGTCAACTTCACCAACCTCTGCCGCAGCCTGTGACTTTAACGGCGTAACTTCTCTAAAAAATCTCTTCGTTCTACACTTGCATCCACCTCTGTTTTTCTCCCTCTTTCCATATACAATAATTTTAAAATAAACTTGTATCTTGCTTCAATTATCTAGAACTCAATGAAATATGTTGAATTAGGCATATATGTTTGAAATGAGTATGAAACACTAGCATTTTCACGTCCTAGACGAGTGTTTGATTTTAAATACTCCCTTTTAAAAAGGTTTGTCAAATTGACTTTTCTTGGTTAATGATAATCAAGATCATTGATATTTTTTAATATGATATTATTTTGAATATGAAAATTATATCAAAATCTTTCTTATTTAAAAAAATTTCATAAAAATATAAAATTTATAAATTACATACAAATAAAATGATTAAACTCATTGTCCAAAATTTGTTATTATTGACTAAGCAAAGTCAATATGAACATTCTGGGGATGAAGGTAGCATGAACTCATTCAATGTTGCGATATGCGTATTTTCAATTGTTGAGGCAGGTATAGCTATGAAGAGCAAAGGAAATTTTTGAGTCAACCAAAAGGAGGATGCAGCTCGGAGGAAGAAAAGAAGAATAGAAGAAGGTGGAGCCGTACAGGTTGGGAGAAAAGAACCTGGGGATCGGAGATGGATTTTATTACAAATAGAAATAAAAAAAATATGTCTGATTTGAGTGTTTTGTAAAACTTTGAAGATTTGAGTAGGTGTTTTATAGTACAAGACTACAAGTATAAGGTCTACTAGTGTTTGAAAAATTGCTGTTTTTGATAAAATATGAAGACTAATTTGATGGCTAAAAAGTGCGGAGATGACATATACTACGTAGTTCATGATCTGTTATAACCCTCATTGGTATAAGGTCTACTACGGTTAGTATTAGTAGAGTCACTGTGATTTACATCTTCTCACATGCTCTATCGAATCGGGACGTGAGAAGTCTTTGTGGTCGAAGAATAACCTTTTGGAGGAAGTATTTTAAACACAATATTTACTTTATGAAATCATAAATTCATGAATACGAGGGAACTCAAACTTAGGTAAGGGGAAGAGGGAATCATTTTTTATAAGTACAGTAACGTATGAAGAACAGCGGCGGGCTACATTCCGTTCTGCGGTCACTTCAGCCGTCCCTTTAGAATTAACATTAATCAAAACATAAATAGCAAAAGTCAAACATATACCCAAGACGAAAAAGGAAAAGTTGACCAAAATTAGACATCGGGAAAGATGTGATTCACACTCGAAAGTTTTTCCCGACGAACGTTTGGCCAAACTCCCAGCCCTCCGGGACGACGTTCCAGGAGGTGGATGACCGCCGGTCGCTGCCCTTTACCCGGAAAGATAACGACTGCCCGCTCAAAACGGCGTTAGTTTGCCAGTTTTGCCCCCAGTTCCTGCTCATCTCTATCCAATCGGTCTTTGACCCTTTCACCCTCACCCTCACGATATCCCCTGCGCCTCCCACGTTGGTGATCAGAACCAGGTTGAAGAACTGGTGGCCGTTAATCGTGAACCGTATTCCCCCCTTCTTCCGGCATGCTACTCTGCGCAACAAAATCGCAAAACATGGGGGTAGATAATTAGTAATTACGCTCAGATATGTAATAGCGAAACCGGGCCCACCACAATCTGACTCACAATCGCACCATAATCCCAGGACAAAGAAAGAAACAAATCGCCCTAATTGGCTGCAAATTTAGTTATTTTTGTAAGTTTGAAAGATTTATGCATAATTATGATACTATCTGATTCATATACTTCTTCCTTCCGTTCTTTTTTAGTTGCAACGGTCAACATTTCACACTTGTCAACGCATGTCTATGACTGTAATTATATCTTAATCTCTATTAGTAAAAAATATTTAAAAATTAGATTTTGAAAATTTATAATGAGATGAATTGAACAATATCTTTTTCAAAATATAATTTTTATAAAATAATAATATAAAATGTAGTCAAAGTAGTATATGTGAATAGTGTAAAATTCAACATGTTGCAATTAAAAAGAGACGGAGGATAGTATATAGCATTGAGTCGTGCAAATTTTTGAGGAAATGAGAAATTAAACAGGAAACAAAAACGTATTTCAATCGAATTTTTTTGTGCTACATAGTTTAAAAGTTAAAATACCAAAATGTACGAATACTACTCGTAATATTTAAGATACCATTTATACATTTCCCCGGATAAAAAAAGAATACACGGCAAAAAAAACAAAAGAAGAACCCACCGGCGGTAAGTGACGGAGACGATTCCGGCACGGTATTCGGCGATCTTGAGGAACATGGGCATGGAGAGGTCGAAATGAGGCCGCGGAGGGTTGCACCAGCCGCCGTTGTCGCTGGGCAGATCATTGTTTGGGGGGCAGAAATTGGTCGCCGTAATAAAGATCGACGGGTTGCCGGGAACGCACGATTGATCGTCGGCGCACTTGATCTCGAAGCAGGCCCCGCAGCTGAGGCCATCGTTGAAGAGGGCGGTGCTCAAAGCTCCATTGTTCACTCCGTAGCCTTGGCTGTAGAGGTCTCCGTACCCGCACGCGCCGCCCATGGTGCCGGAGGCGTCGCTGCCTCCGTAGAAGGTGGCGTGAGCTGAGTGCCACGCGCCGCCGGTGTAAACGCCTGGGTGTTTAGCTTGAGCTGATCGTAAGAGTGGGTAGATAAGAATGGAAATGTAGGCTAAGCATAAAACACCCATTTCTTTTTCGTTCTTCCTAAAGATATTTCCTGGCCGGCCTGGAAGGGAAGAGATGGCTAATGGAGTGAAGAAGCGGATTAGAGGAGTTATAAGTGTTAGGGGGAGTGGGCAGTAATGTAATTTTGTATATGCAATTTGTTAGCACTAGATGGTAATCCGGATTTCGCCCTTCTAATTTTGGTTAAAGACCAAAAGGGTAACTCTTAAGATTATTGAAGCTACCACTTAAATATCTTCTCTAATAGAGCGGGCAAATGTAGTTCAACCGGTAGGTAGAGGTGATTACGTGTCGAGTTTGAATCCCGACAACTGCGATGAGAATTTACTATTAAAAAATGCAAGGCTTCTGCAAATATCTGGATCAGAGTCTCGCTCACTATTTGTCAGCTTATGATTAAAGTCCAATTTACATTCTCAATTAACTGTCCGACCGGTGATGAAGAGTGTTCAAGGATGAAATGTCATCATTTTGAACTCAATACTTTCAATAAAAGAAAATCCTAAATGTGGGAACCACGAAGTGGTTCTATATCTCCAACCGGAGAAAACATCATACGAATGACTTTGTACATAAAATGTTTTATTTGGTCGTCATAAGCATATGTTAGAGAAGTTCAAATTATCTTGGCAAATTTAACTATAAATTAGTGTAATCCATACATAGTAGTTTTTCCGTTCTTTTTTCGTTGGAACCGTCCAATTTTCACGTTTACCAATACACAAATTTGATCATTAATTTATTTCATTCCGTATTGTATAAATTAAAAAATTCTGATTTTGAAAATTTAAAATGGAAAGAATTTAACATCATTCTTTAAACATTTAATTTATAAGACATGAATCTAACAATATGTTTAGCTTTGATTGAGATTATATTCGAATATATGACCTCAATGGTAATGTAAATCTAATTTTAATTTTATTCTTTAGTCCCTATATAATTATTCTTGAATCTACTAAAGTTATTCTTTAATCCAGCGCATTCCTAATTTTCGTATGTGTCTCTAGTCTCTACTACAAAGTGCTTATTGGCTCAAATACTTTTGTTAATAATACAAATTTAGACGGAGTATTAGTATATGGTTTTACTTTATCGACCTCTTTAATTTCTTTCTACCCCATGACCCCATCCCTACAGGCTACAAATAAACCGATATGAATTTAATTGTTAGAATTTGTGTGAACCCGGATGGATCTCTGGAAATGTTTTGCATAAACTACCAGTATAGATATCGGTTAATTTTATGTTATCTTAGCGAAGTAATTAATCAATGGGAAAAACAGAGAATATGCCATAAATCGTCATTCAATTTAACATAATTCGTCTATTTCAATTTCATTAACAAAGTTTAATTTGTCTCATACCAATTTGAGTGGTTGCAATTTATTTTAACTTTATTCATATTTTAAGCAAAGTAATAGACGAATGTAAATCTTTAATCCTGATACACAATTCTATATCAAAAACACAATTCCGTTTTTCGTATTAACTGCATTCCTCTTTTGCCTCAATCTTAGGGGATAAATTAATAGAGCTTCAACTCAAAAACACAATATGATAACTTCAACTCAATTTGAAATAAATAGAGCTTCAACTCAATTTGAAATAAATAGAGCTTCAACTATTGAATATAATATACGTCTAATTAAAGTCATTTTAAATGTAATTCCTCAAAAGTCTCCCTCTATCAAATTTGTAACTAAAAAAAGTTAATTATTTCACTTTCCTCTCCCTTTAACGACTCCTCCCAATCCCTTCCCTCAAGCTTCCAAACATAACATATTTTAAGATAAATTAGCTCTTTTTAAAACGAGATAATCATTTCCATGAACATAATTCCAACATGCTTTATAACTTACTCACTGAATTTCCTCCTTTATAGAACCTCAAGATAGGTAAACACATGGATTACGCTATACCTATCTCATCTGCCAAACATGAGACAAAAATTCAGTTTCTCTATCTTGTTTGATAGGGCATGAGAACACGGAAAAATTAAGAACAAAACGGAAGCATGCATTTTCGTGATTAACCAGTTAAGAAATTTAGGGGATGACTCACTACAAATCATTGCGGATTCCAAATTCCCAACAAGTTAAGTTACTCACAATAAGTGCTCTGTGCATTAATTTATCTCCCACCGGTTGATATATAAAAATACAAACTAATATATTATTGGAGAAAACATGACGCCCCGAACTAGATCACGAGCTAAGAAAAAAACTTTTATATTATATAATTGAAATGTACAAGATAGAGTTTACAAATGAACGGGTTTCTCACTTTACTCTTTCTAGTTGGGAATACTTCACTCTTCCTCACTTATGAGAAGCTTTTCTTTCATGCTTCAAATGAAAGGCTACAACATCTATTTATACTTCTCACAAAGGGGTAGGAATAGACTTTCTCTAGAATCTTCCACCTATTTTTAAAGCAAACAATTTTACATAAAATTACGAAATTACAGTACAAAAAGATAACTAAATAAAAAAACAAACTGAAACGTACAAGGAAAACAAAAGAAAATAACTAGGCCCAAGGAAAATCTCTGGACTGTGATCTTCCACCTACCTCTCTACATTCTAGATTCTTTCAAGAAGACTTCACAAGCTTACATGATCCTCTTGAAGAACTTAGATGACTCCACGCTTATTTAGAACACTTTAAACTACTTTACAACCTTTCACACATTTCTAGAGATTTCGACATTTGATCTCTGGAGACTAGAGTACGCATTCTAGAAGACACTAGAACATTTTACACACATCTAGATAGTGCTATATTTTTCTGGATAACTCAACACTATTCTAGAGAATTCTACTCATCACCACATAGTTCTAGAATTCTCTAGAATTTCACAAAGTATTCGGAAGGGGTAATTTGAGTTTGCACCTCATTTTATTGTCTTAATTGGACTTTGCACCCTGTTTTTAAAATCTTTGTTTTTTGCACCTCAACCCCATATGAAAAGACAAAAATGCCCCTCCATTAACAATTTTGTTGTCCTTCAACATATTCTTGATCGATGGGCATTTTTGTCTTTTCATGTGGTGTTAGGGGTGCAAAAACAAAGATTTTCAAAAACGGGGTGCAAAGTCTAATTTGAACAATAAAATAGGGCGCAAAAACAAAGATTTTAAAAAACAGGGTGCAAAATCTAATTTGAACAATAAAATAAGGTGCAAACTCCAATTACCCCTATTTGGAAATATTGAATTACATCCTAACAGTTCCTCCCTTAATTCATATTTCAAAATATTTTAATGATTTCCGAAAAGTTCACTTTCTTTTCCTTGACTCCTCCGATGCATCTTCTTAATGTTCACTACATTGCCTTCCAAGAAGCAAACACTCTTCTCATTTTTTCGTCCTCTCATGAGCAAATGTCTTCTCTTAAACACTTTGCACCACTTATTTGTGTCAAAATACTTACACGCCTCTAATGTCAATGCACCCCACAAGATGACATTAGCTTTACTCGAAGGCACGTACCTCACATTGTGGAGAATGTGGATTGTACCATTATGAAGGATCATCTTTATGCTTTCGAAACCTTCAACCTTCAACTTCTCGCAGTTAGCTAAGTTGAAGTGACTGAACTCTCCATTAGTGTTCAAGGTGTCAAACATGGCTTGATCTCGACATGTGTGCATTGAAGCAGCGCTATCCATCACTCACTTAGATTTGGCAACCTCTTCACTTGTTGCTAAGTAAACATCACCACCATCTTCATCGCATATCACATTGGTAATAGAGTCACATCGAGTAACCTCATTTGGGTTGGATTCGTAGGCCACTTTTGTGTCTTGGGCTTCCTGATCAGCCATTTGGACTACTAAAAATATGTCTCCAAATGTAGTCTTATTCCATATTTTTAGTGCCTTTTTAGTGGATTGCAATTTGTCATAGAAAGCTCTCATTCCCCTCCCTCCTTTTGTAATTTCACAGTTGGTTGACACAGTTTCAAGAAAATTGTGGCGTGTGGTCCACATATTTAGAAATCGGAACGGTTTTGGACCGTCGTTAAGGATTAGGGGTGTGTGGTCTGAGGATGTTCGACTTACATGATTTTCACGGATGGAGTCAAAATCTTCAAAGAACCGTTGGTTCGCAAGAAACCTGTCCAACCGTCTCCATAATCTGCCTGTAGATCGAATTCCAGTCCATGTAAATTTACTGCCTATGTATTCAATTTCCCGCAGCCCACAAAGGTCCAAACAAGTTGTGAAATCCTCAATTTCTGAGATTTTAGGAACGGTTTTCCCGCTGTATTCATTTAGTGAGGCCATGACATTGAAGTCCCCACCGATCAGCCACGGTTCGGTTGATCCACAGGGTTTTACGTTCGTTCCTTGAGTGTTTCCCGTAAATGGTAGAGAGCCAAAATGAGAAACCACTATAAATTTCTGTTACTTTTGCATCAATAACCTGGTCTCTTCAACGAATTGATCAACTGAGAAACGGTCTATATTCCACAAGACCCGGATTTTGTTATCAGTTTTGGGGTATACATGTGAAAATCCCAACTGGATTTTGTAATGTTCAGCCTTGTCGATTGTAACCATTGGTTCAACAATTGTAACAAGCGATAGTCTCCACTGTAGAACTAACTTTCGCAGTCTTGTAGTGGAGGATAGAAGACCACAAATGTTCCAGTTCATCAAAATCATTAGTGTCAATTTAGGCCCTTTGGCCTCCCAAACCTTTTGTGAGTGGGTAGAAACCGGGGGAAATGTGTAGGAGGTTTTGGTTTGTCTTTTTGAAGCTGACTGGAGGAGCTTTGGTCCTTGTCCCTGTCCTTCTTCAACAACATAATCCAGTCAAAAATATTATATCAGCTTATTGTAAGACCATCTCCAATAGTTTACACCATTTTTTTCACTAAAACAGAGTAAACATCACATCATACAATACTTTATCTCCAACAGTTTACACCATTTTTATCACTAAAAAGGAATATTCCCTTTTTTATTATTTTTACTAACTTTTTACAATTATTATATTTAATCATCTAATTATCAAATATTTATATATTAGCCCCTCATTTAATATCTATTTTGGCATTTCACTTATTTTTTCACAAAA